CCTTTTCGCCGCCAACAACTTCTATAGAAGTTCAGGATTTTCGTGCCGTCCACGCCACTACTTCTATAGAAGTTCATTGTATCTACCTACTATAAAAAATACATTTACGATACATAAAACATTTGTTTCTTTGTAATTTTGTAATATGGACACGACGAACTATTTTTTCTCATGCAAAACAGACTATTTTCTGTTTTAAAAAGGTAAAACATAAAAGGTTTCAAATAATTTTATATCCCGCACGCCAACGACTTCATATCAAGTAGGCCAGTGATGTGACGCGTAAGGAGCATTCATTAGAATCTTTATTTACTATAATATTTGTTTTCTTTTCCATCCAATAGTTTTTTGAATTCTATGAATAAAAAGAAATTCCGGTCAGTAAATAACGTATTACAATGCGTTTCAAAATTAATGTACATCTACCTATCAAATCATTTCATTAAAATTAATTATTATGTACTGAGGGTTTTCGATATTGCTAGACCCATCTCTACGTAATGGCAAGATGTCGAGTGACACTAGCGCCGTCAACTTCAATAGAAGTAAACCTGTGACGTCGTAAGCGCTTAGGCGTCAAGGTCATTGTGTCATAGTTCCGGGCGACTTATTATTATAAGCTCATAATTAATCGCACGGCCTATACCTATAATTATTTTCATGATTATGAAATATCCAAATGATTGAGTCATTTTGATTCGATTACAAACTGTTTGGGTCGCGAAAAATTTGTGATCGACTCAGGTCTATATTTGTTCGCCGACACAGCTAAAAGTTTGCGAAACCGAGAGCCGCAACGAATAGGTATTTTATGACTACCTAATATCCATCAAACGTGCCAGTTTTTCATTTGCATTAAATGAAAAATAAGCTATTAAAGTTTAGTACATCTGTATTAAAATAGTTACTTACCATCCATTTCCAAAACTACACATATGTTGCCACTTTTAATCACTACAAACAATGTTCCTGATCGTGACCTGACGTTAGATTTTAAATGTAAACTAAAACCAAAAGCAAACCAAACTCGATAGAAAGAAAGAAAAGCATAGACAACTATTCCTTACGAAATGTATCGTGCTTTGAACGCCAATGACTTGATATGAAGTAAACAGACTACGTTATGAAATGAATAGTGAAGTGGCTAATGTTACGAATTATTATTATTATCTCTAGCAACTCTATGCATGTATCTTCATCTCTGATAACGGATACCCATTTTTCTTAGTATAAATGTTCATAAAATAAAACAAATTACCATTATAACTTAACAGTTTGTATTTTTAATTGTAAATTTGAGTACCAATTTAAATTTACACATATTTTTTTTCATTATCGACATGATGTTACCGCCATCCCTACTTTCGTACTATACATTTATTATACATTTATACGTTGGCGTACGGCGACACATCGTGTTTAGTATAGCTGGGCGGCGAAAAGGTTAATTATTTCACAAAAACATTTCCTGCTGGGGTAACGTTACTCCAGCCAGACTCCAGGAATATTTAAATAATTACTAGCTATAAAATTAGTTGTCTAGATGAAGTAAATGTTGCGCCTTGTTTTGTATTTGTTCTTTCATCGGTTGCGAAGTTATTCGAGATTTTGCTGGGGTAACGTTTCTGAGTTTGCTAGATCTTTGAAATGGTTAAGCGGATTCTTATTATATTTGGTACATGGCTTCTTATTAATTAGTTCAAATTTGTTGTGCAATAAAAAAACCAAAATATTAAATAGCTTAAAAGTTATTTCGTTAAATATAAAAACACGTAAATTGGTTTCCAGCACTCTCAATAGGAGCTCTAAAGACTTACTTTAAACGTTATTTAAAAGCTTGTGACTGCCTTCAAATGTATATGAAGTTTCATTAGCATCCTGTAAGTATTAAACAAGTTATGATGATATTGAGTTCTTCACGAGCACGGCCTTGATGCGCGCGGTGTTATTTGGCCACTGGATTGGATAATTGAACTGAATGTTATGTCAATAATTCGTTGTTTAGTTCAGTTATACATCAGTAAAATTTCAGCTCAGTACATTGGATAATTAATGAGATAATACGATTAAAGTCATTATGAAGAGAATGATCGTGGTAATCCGACCAAGTTTAGGTGGTTACGAAAAAGCGAAAACGCAGAACATTATACTATCTTTTAAAATGTTTAGTATTATACACTTTACAATTCACAATGCACTTATTTCAGTTATTACGCCAGAAGGAGTTGTTCCAATATTAAACTTCGCTGTATTTTTTCTTTTATATTGAGAGTACATCAATATTATACATTTTAAAGATTACATTATTCAATCAGTCTCAGCACAGTCTAATATTTATATTATTCTTGTATTTTTATATTTTTGGAATGATTTAGATAAGTTACTACGTATCATTTCGGTATCAGGCCAAGGAATAAGAACTTTGAGTACTCTACTCAGCATGGGGCACATATTGTTAAAATAATTCGAACATGTCTGCCTATTATTTATACCAAACAAAACATCAATGGCTCTAAATGACATACCTATTTTGTTTAATTTTTACCATTGTCTAAATAACCCTCTCTCTCAAAGATAACATTTTCTTGTTTGTTGGAGCATTTAAGGCTAACTCACTAACACAAGTCACCAATGTTTCTAAAAGTTCAATTGATTGAATACCCGTAAAAGTAAACATAACATAACATCACGCCTTTTTATCCCCGAAGGGGTAGGCAGAGGTGCACATTATACCACTGTACAATGTAACACCCACTTTTCACTATTTATGTTATGAGTCCCATGTAATAGGGGGTGAGCCTATTGCCATATACCGGGCACAATTCCAGACTCCGTGCTACTACTGAGGATATTTAAAAACCCAGTAATACTTTGCCCGACCCGGGAATCGAACCCGAGACCCCTTGCCCGGCAGTCGCACTTACGACCACTCGGCCAACGAGGCAGTAGTAAAAGTAAATAAATACTTATCACTGCTGAGTAAATCTGAGAGGGTTAATTGCTTTACAGCTGATCTTTCCTCTTTCCATACAGGAAGAAAATTTATTTGATTCATAATTTTGTCTTTTGGACATAAGTGAATACTTTGTCCTGAATCTCCGTAAGTTCATTGAGGAACGCGACAATATTTTATGTTTTTGCTTTTATTAAAAACAGGTATATGTACATACATAATCAAATGGATCACGATTACATAATCGTGATCCATTTGATTATGTTTAAACCTCAACGCGAAAGACAAATGTCGTTCTTAGACAATTTCTAAATTTCGCCGCTAGAGGCGCGGATAATCTTTGCATCGCTAATAGTGTGTGGTGTCCGCTAGTGGGCAATCTTAGGGAATTAGTCCCTAAGATTGCCCACTTTGCCCATCTGGTGGGCAAAATACAGTAGCCGCCATTAAAATACATAGCGAAGGGGTGGCAGGTATAAAGGGGACGTTAAGAGCAATAATAAATTGGCTATGTATATGTATATACTATTATATAAGGCTGGTGAGTGTTGAATAGTCTATTTATCGAGGAAGGCTTTATTTTTGATGGGCGAACCCGCCCGGGTGTGGCGAGATAGTGTCAGACTCTTACTGACTAAAAACCACCCCGTTCCTACACCTGCACTTTGAGCCGGAGCCCCGGCAACCCGTTAAGTCTTTCGCGGCTCCGTATCGGCATCAGCCCTATTGGGTCCAGACTTCAGTCTTCAAGTCAACAGACTTCAAAAAAAGAACTAAATTCGATTGCATTTTTTTTGTTTGTTACTCGATTTCTCAAAGACGCCTAGACCGATTTCAAAAATTCTTTTTTATTTGAGAGGATAAACTCGTACGCATGCGTACTTATAGCTTACACATCCACTGATACGCGAGAAGTCGATGCCACAAATTCATAACAAAATATAACTTAGGTAATGGTCACAGGTACCTATATGATTTTTTTAAACTATCCTTAGTTTAGTTGTAGTAGAAGGAAAGAAAACCAGTGTATTTACACCGTATAGGTAATATATCAGGGCGCATAATAAAATTGTAAACAGCTTAATAATTTTAGGTAGGTATCTATTAAGGTTATAATAAACTTGTGGCACCGACTTCTCACATATCAGTGGGTGTGTAAGCTATAAGTACGTATGACCAATAATAGTTATGGTTAGCTTTTTAGTTTTTACTTTTCGTCAGTTTTTATAAACGCAGATTTTATGTTTGTTAGCCTCACTAAAACTCGAAAACGCCTGGACCGATTTATCTTCTTTTTGTCTAGAATTATTTGTAAGTGTTGGGAAGGTGATGAAAAGAAAATGTTTCAGGTGGTATGTACCACCTTATCCTTATATCCTTTTATCTGTTGAAACACCGGCTCCCGGTATAAAACACATTATACCCGCAACTTTCAACAGATAAGAGGGTATAAACCCACTGTTCACATAGCTGAAGGCTGTATAATTGAGCTGCTTTTCTGCAGCCCCCTATTTTACCATTAATTACTTGTTTCATACTTTTTATAGACCATCTACCCCTCAAACTTTTATATATTGGAATTTGTTTTAATAACTGAAAGAAATAAGAAAAAAATTGTTGCTGAAGATTACCTTTCGATAACTCACCAACAAACAGAGGTACACCACCCTGTTCCATAGCGATGGCCCATTATGCCTCCACGTCTAACATATTTTTTTAATACTAACAAAAGATATATTCTTGGTAAGAGCGATTTTATTCAATAATTGTTAACATTTACCTTTATTAGGTTTCATGAACATTTGAAATTTGATTAAAAGACATTAAAATTAATATTTTTTGTTAAAAATAAAAGCGTGACTCTGGGTGCAGGTTGATTGATAACAGATGTAAAATGGTCGATTATTAGCGAAAAGACTAAGCCTCTGGTGCACATTTTTTTGTATTTGTTGGTGCATCGTGCCTTGCGACCCAGTTATACCTCCCTTCGCTGACTTAATTTATGCTTTTATAAACCAAATCTAAACTAATTTTATTTTATTATATTCTATACATCAATTAGTTTTCCGGAGCAACAGTTACAAGGATAAAAGTTCTTAAACTCAATATTTTTCTTATTGATATCAATTAAAGAGTTATTCTTAAGATTGGCGAGTAAGGTCATTACCCTTTCCATATCAATACGTTTCGACTCGGTTACGAAATAGGACGATAATTCTTTATCTTCAGCAAAACGAATAAGAAGGCCACTAAGTTCGTCTAATTCACTTGAGTTTTCCACATTCCTGTTGAAAAACTTTCAACTGCGCACTTCTTTCTTCGTCGCGCCGTTTTAACAAACTTCTCTGTTGTTGATATAATGCTACATATTCACAAATGGTATCGGTTTCGTTTTGGAGCTGTAAAATTATATGTTCCAATCTGTGCTTTTCATCAGATAAGTCTGCAACCTCGGCCATTATCTTGAGGAAACGGTCCTGAAGTTTGACCATCGCGTCTGCTCGCTGGAGGCTATTAGTGTGTTCATTTCTTTCATCTGTTTCATGCAGTAACTGTTTGCAGTCTGTATCTGTTTCAGTATGTGCATCTGATCCACTAACTATATTTACTTCCGGAATTGGGTTCTCTACTTCCGAGGCTCTTGTGTTTACGTTTCTATCAGAATTCATTAAATCGTCACATCGCTTTTGAATTTCTCGATAGTTCGATTGCAATCTCATCATCTCTTCATCTTTGGCTTTCAATTTAATTTGCATATCTTTTGCTTTTTCTTCTACTTCTGATAATTTAATGGTAAGTTCTCTGTTCAGATACTTCTCAGCCGTAATTTTCTCTGTTAGTTCCAATTTATCTTTACTCTAAAAATTTAATGCTTTATTAATAGTAACTGTATTATTTAATGAACTATAAAGAAAATATAATATAACTAGATGAAGATGACTGATTACACGCAGAAGTTGAAGGCCGATCATTGCAAAAATCTACAAATCGGGTGTTAAATCTAATGTCATGAGCTTTTTTTATGCTTTGCTAGCATATTAATTATACTCGATTTAATTTCCTAAGAAAGGTAGTGTCACGCCTGGTATTTGAACTTACTGGGGTTGTAGTGATTATATATGTTACAAATATACAAGTGTTTCAAAACTCAACGATATAACTAAACACAGTGATATGTCAGTGTAGGTATGTCACAGTCTTCTTAACACTGCACCGGAAATAGTAAAAAATTTGGTAATGCTCGTTATAGGACACTATGGATACAATATAGGGTCACCCATAAAATACATAACATGAAATTTCATGATGTTTTGTCCCTTTCCCAGTCCTTGTCGCAGTTGGTCACATTTGTGAGACTCTCAAGCGTGACATATTTCAAAGTTACGCAAAGAAATTATTGAATGAAAACAGCGGTTCCAATATCAGTTTTAATTCGCGCGTGACTTAGGAGTAGACGTCGCGAGTGGTAGATAAAAAATTGGTATCTTACACATATTCACACAGATATAGTTGCACACATGTGTCTCTAGAAGTATGGAACAAATGGGTCATAGAGGAGGTCATTATCTATCTTTTTGCTCTGGGAATAGGGGTCCGATTCTTGACGGTTCAAAAGTTATGACTAGTTTTAGTTTTATTCACTTATTTTCCAATTTGTTAAAGATGCGAACTCAGCCAAAATAAATATCAGAGGTATCACTGTTATTTTTATTTTTAGACTTTCTACAAAAGTGGACTTTTCTTAACGCCATATTTTTACTCCATAAAAAGACATGCACTAAAAAATACATTAATTTACACATTACAGTGTCGTTAGTTCCAGTTAAATAAAAAAATATTACTCGTAGGTATTATTATTTGGCATAATTATCTCGAAGTAAATAGGGTGAATACATAAACAGACTGCACAGTTGGCACGGTGGCTGGATAACCGGCTGCCGCGCTACGTGTAGCGGGTTCGATTCCCACACGGAGTAACATCATTAAATTATTGTTTCGGGTCGGGGTGTAGTTTATGTGCATTTGTATGTTTTTGTAAACGCACCCACGAACAACGTTTAAAAAAATAACAGCTCCTTGATAAAATTTGAACAGTATCTGCAAAAGAATCAAAGAGACAGGTAGAGATATAACAAGACGCGAAAGGGTTTAAGTAAAATCAATTTAAGAATTATATTACAGTAAATATTTGAATTGGCACTGGATACAATCTATTTTTAGAAAAAGCTCAATTTAATGTCAAGGAAGTCAGTATTGTAAAACCTATGCGATAAATCAGTAAAATATCTCCTGATAGTTCTTAACAGTCATTTCGCAAAAAGTTTAAGTAACTATTTGGCTGCTTTGTTTTTATCGTGTCAAGTGGTCTTAATGCGACAGCTTAATAGGAGGTCTTGTGTTGGATTCCCTGGTTGGCCTAAGAATGTACTACAGTTTTTAGTTTTTAGAAAGTTCTTAACTTCGTCGAGAGGGGTTTTGTGCTCATATTTAGGGTAATACGTTGTTGAGCTTCTTATATGGAAATATAATTATGATAGTTGTTACTCAACTATCACCTGTCAAGAGATTTAACAGCTGCTTAGAGTTGATCAGCCTTTCAGATACCATAGTTTATTCACAGTAGCGTTAAACAGAAGTCAAAAAAGCTTATTTTTAGGCACACTTTGTAATAAAAGTGACAAATAGTTTCAAGTTCGATCATGAAGGCGGAAATATAGAGGTTAGTTTTCCGGGAGTGTTGAAAATTGGCAATTTTGGAGATTTTTAAGTGTTTTTTTTTTCGATTTACATTTTGCAATCTTGGAAAAATGGCGGCCAAAATCATTTTTTTATCATATCTCTTTTTCTGTGCATTTTACGAAAAAAATTATGTACAAAATTAAACTAAGTATTTACTTTTTTCTACAATTTATGTCTAGATTTGGCGCCAGAACACCGAAAAGTACATCGCAGTGAGCATTTAGCAGGATATTTAATTTCAACACCACGTGGACAACGCGGCGCGTTTCTTTAATACTGTAATCCTTTATAGTGCCTTGTGCTCATAAATGATTGTGATACGCACTTTCGTATTGCAAATAGGCCGACAGGCGATTTCGTATTGGGCACCCATCGATATGTCATGGCCTTTTTTTAAACGAAAATGCTTGTAATGATTAATGCTAAATCGCATCGCAAATAATCCGGGCAAAAATTGCGAATTTTTCACGCTCCACATTTTTTCACGTATGTATAAATTGTGCTTTTACAGTTATTACTTTTGTTATTTTTTTCTTGTCTCTAATGACTTCCGAGTCTTCAATATACAGTGTTGTCGAATATAATAGTCAAAGTACTTTAAGTTTATAGAAATGAAACAACTAAGTATATAGAAAAATACTAAGTATATAGAAATGAAACAACTATGAAGTATTTCTCATCTATAGATTCACTTATTATATATCAATACAAGTGACCATGACAAAAGCCTAGAAGAAGCAGGGGTTGTCAGTACCTGTGGCGTTTTTCAAAATACTACATAATCTAATTATTTATATTTGCATGTATGTAAAAATAAATTTCTTATTGCGTTATATGTACAGAAGAATCTTATTGATCATTTATTTTTTTAATGAAAGTTATAGGTATGGATTTAAAACAAAATCTAATTCATTTATAAAGTCATCTGTTTAGTACTTACTTAATAATTATCAAAATCTAAATTTAGATACTGCTTTATATTGAAATCATAATTTATGAAAATAGTTTGAATTTATTTAAATAAAATAAATGTTGTGCACTTCTACTTCCATGAACCCCTTTTTTTCTAATGCAGAAGTGAATGGATGGAATGTTGATTTTTGTAATGATCAGCCTTTTACCCCCTGGCCACAGCCAAGCGCGGCGCGAATTGCGGCGCGACGAGCGGTGAGCGGGGAAAACAAATGGTAGACAACGTATGAAGTATGCCACAGCTAACGGCGACGCGAATTGCGGAGCGACCTGCGGCGCGAAAAGCGTCGCGCGGCATACGGCGGCGACGGGCGGCGCGGTGTGCGAGTGAAACAAATGCACTAGGGAGTATCGAGGCGGCCACAGCCAGAGCGGCGTATGCAGCGGCAGCGAGGGGACGAATTTGTGTTCGCGCGAACAGAATAAATTGTTTTGAAAATTTCGCTCCGCATCAAATGGATACCGAAAAACTTATTAGTGAGATATTGATAGTTAGATTAGATAGTTTGGATAGTTCCTATATTTGTGATAAAGCGTGTGAAATTCGCCAAGGTTTTTCATTTTTTCATTAACTGGGTGCGTTCCAATTTTAGAGTTAATGATATCCTGAGCTAAAAACGCATTAGTCTCAAGACAATATCGTGCCACTTTTGATAGGGCCATTATAAATAATACTGAGTACATCCACCGCTGACGCCGCCGCGGTCGCAACTAGTCGAGCTGTGGCATACCAACGCAAATCGCGTCGCCCGCCGCGCCTCCCGTCGCACCGCGCGCCGCACCGCTAGAAGCTGTGGCCAGGGCCTTAGAAACCGGGCATAAGTCTATTTAATTCATTTAGATCTAAATCTTGAACTTTAAAGGATATTACCATTTTGACAAATGCATCTTCCAAACGCTGAATATCTTGCTTCAATTGCTTATTTTGTTCAGTAGCTCTTTGAGCTGCAACTTTATCACTTGTCATATCAGCATTTAACTTGGAAAGGCTAATGTTATCGTGATTACATTCAACTTCCTTTACGTCTGAGAGTTCCTGAACTTTGGCAACACTTTCTGCATACTGATTTTGAAGACATTCATGCTTTGTTTTCAATGCGTTAAGATCATCCTGTAAGAATTTAATTCCAAATTATACAATGAAACTATAGAAAAATATAAATAACTAAAATATTTACACCATAAAATTACCTGAAAAAAATATAAATATAATGTTTTACCTAAAAATAATAATTAGAATGAGGAAAACTTTTGATGCCCTAAGAGGACCTTTTTCATTTTAACTTTAAATTAATTTAATTGTTCCTATTCAAATATATACCCGTGTGTATTTTTGTTCTTTTAGATTCCGGACGTGAGCTCCTAACATAAAATTGCTTTTAGAATAGCAAGTATTGTCAAGTACATAGTATTGTAATACACCTAACTAGCTGTTGCTCGTGACTTCGTCCGCGTAGAATAATTACTACTTAATGATAAAAATTGTTGCACCGAATCTCTCTAAAATAAGTTAAGTGGTTAAGAGATGGAGAGTCCCGGGGCTTTAACGAATAGTTCCCGTGGGACTTCTGTGATAATAAAAACTATTATACATACATCGTGTACATACCAAGTCTCAAATTATCGTTTTACCGAATGTAAGTCAATAAGATTCAATGATTTATAAAAATTATCATCACCTATTTTATCCCCTTTTTTTAAGGGTAAAATCATCGAATGACTGTTCTCGCCTGGGTAAGGCGGGAGGGAGTATCAGACTCTTACTGATTAAAAACCACTCCGTTCCTTCTGCTGCACTCGAGCCGGAGCCCCGGTAACCCGTTAAGTTCTCCGCGACTCCGAATCGGCATCGGCCCTGTTGGGGGATCTGTGGTGGTCTGATGGCTCTTTGAGGTGCGCGGAAGGCGACGCGCCGTACGCTCGGGATTTTATCCCCTTAGGGTTGGAATTCATTAAAATCCTTTCTTAGGACACGTCTACGTCATAACATCTACCTGCGTGCCGAATTTCAAGCCGATCGGTGTAAAACTGACAAAGATTCATACAAACATTCATCCTCTATTTTATGGCGGGTGCAAGCTCATTGTCAAAGTTGACATTTCGCACAACGCTGTCAAGTGTACTTGTGGTTGACAAGGTAGACTTACTTCTAGTCATGATAGTTGAAGGTATGGATGAAAATAAAGAAATGGTATCATCACCCGTGGAATCGGCAATAGCTTCTTCGGTGTAAGCCCGCCTGGTCAACTCACAACAACCAGCTGTAACCTGTTTTTTGGTGGGAGCCCGCTTGCTCAACTCCACACCACCGATGGTTCGCATGCTGTGGCATCCAGCACCGGCTCCAGATGCGCCCCGGCGACCCCCGGGAAGCGGCCGCAAATTATATTCTCTTTTACTCATCTCTCCATGTTGGGTTACCCTTGCCTTGTTAGCCGCGTAAGTTTTTATTCGCCTTGGATTCGCTACTTAAAAAATATTTTGAGAGTGGCGAAATCCTCTATGATACACACTCAATCTTGTACTGTGGGGCGGTAGCTGCTTGTCGAGTGGCTAACGTCAGATTCCCAAATCTTGACGCAGCAGTCCGACCAAAACCAGTAGTACCTGCCTGGCAGTAAAGGATAGAGCGTCGTATCAGTGAGGCCAGGGTACTCATTGGCAAACTATCCTGCTTTAGGGAGGGAAATACTCGCCCTAGAGTGATGCGCTTTGTAAGACGTGCATTTGTGGGGACTGAAATCAGTCCTCATGAATACCTGTCACGTGTTACAGAGCGCATCGACTTCCTGAAGCAGAAAGTTTATGCATGGGCAAACCGTATCAGACTTTGCCCATGCATAAACTTTCTGCTTTTATACTCAGAATCGCATGTTCCAAAGAGATCAGAGGTGGGTATACAGAGATTGGGAACGATCCAACCAAGATGTGGCTGACGGGAGGCGACCGGATGATGCCACTAACACATTTTGGCGCATCTAGTCGGTGCCTGTTAGCCACACAGAAGGTGACTGGATGTTTGATGTTAAGCGAAGGTGTTAGACTATACCAGAGATGGAGGAGGTAGTAATCACCTCCTCTGATGTAGCCAGTGCAGCCTGTTCGGTCCCGAATTGGAAATCACCGGGGCCGGACAGACTGCACAATTTCTGGATTAAATGGCTCAGGAGTTCACACGTTCGCTTAGCATTACAATTACACTTCCAGGTAGCTTTGGAAACTGGGTCGTTACCACAATTTCTAACAACAGGAGTTACCCACTTGCTCCATAAATCAGGTAGTTCCACTGAGCCCAAAAATTATAGACCAATCACATGTCTACCAACGGTCTATAAACTTCTTACAATCCATTTTGAGGACAAAAATAACAAAACATATTAAAAAAAATTCCATCATGTCGGTATCTCAAAATGGATGTAGGGAGGGGTCTCGTAGAATTAAGGAGCTACTCCTCATTGATATGGTTGTTAGCCAACAGGTTCGTCGGTCCCGAAAAGATTTGTCTACATGCTGGATAGACTACAAAAAGCATAATATGATTCTGTGCCACATACATGGCTCCTGAAGGTGCTGGAGTTGTATAAAATAGATGCAAGTCTACGCGCCTTGGAGGCAGTGGAGCACCGTGCTTTGCTATCCGAGATGTAGACAAATCCAAGGGAATGAAGAACCTGTAAGGATAGTACGAGGAATATTCCAGGGTGACAGCCTGAGCCCACTATGGTTCTGCTTGGCCTTGAATCCTCTAAGTACTCTACTGGAGGATTCAGGGCTAGGCTATTCTTTGCGGAGAAGGGGTCTAGTTATATCCTACTTACTTTGCATGGATGACCTCAAGTTGTTTGCTCCAAACAAGAAACAATTGATGGAACTACTGAATATAACTGAAAAATATAGTAGTTCCATCAGAATGGAGTTTGGAGTGGACAAGTGTGCGGTCATGCATGTAAAGCGAGGAGGGATTGTGGAATCTGAGGGACTAGAACTCTCAGATTTCACAAAGCTGAGATCACTCTCTACAAACGATACATACAAGTACCTGGGTATGTCAGAAGGATTAGGCATTAATGGACCGGACATGAAGCAATCGTTACAGGAGCGCTTCTTTGGCCGCCTGAATAAGGTACTGAAAAGTTCCTTATCAGGCGGAAACAAGGTGCGAGCCTTTAACGGTTGGGTCATGCCAGTCCTAATGTATTCTTTTGGTATACTCAAGTGGACACAGACTGAACTTGACACCCTGGATAGACGAGTCCGGACCCTGCTGACTGCAAATCGCATCTCGTTCGTCGGTCATGAGGTTGTACATCCCGCGGAAGTGTGGTCGAGGCTTATTAAATGCTAAGACCCTTCACAACCGTGAGGTGTGCAGCCTCAGGGAATATTTCCTGAAAGTCAACGAGGGTATGCATCGAGAAGTAGCAGCGACAATGATTCACTCCGCTATCCTTGGCCATAGAGAACTGACGCAAACCTGTGGTACTGAGCGTCAATGATCGCAAGGAGGTATGGCATAGCAAGGAGCTCCACGGACGCTTCTTCCGGGCCCTTTATGGGCCCAGTGTAGTTTTCTAGCGTCCGTGTCTTGGCTACGATTCAGTAATCTCTTTGGAGAAACTGAAGGATTTGTAAACTACCGGAAATATACCTCGTGTGTTCATAAGTTTTGAGACAAATTAAAAGTTGCATATCTTTTTAAATAATAAACTTATATTTATAAAAACAATAACAAACATTAAGTAGATAGTAAGTAAAAATTAAATATAATTATTATTCAAAATGACCACCCCTGTTTTTAATACATGCCCTTAGACGATTTGGCCAGTCATCAATGGCGGCACGAATCTTTTCCAGAGTAATTCGCTTCGCTTCTCGGACAAGAGCTCGCTTAAGTGACTCCAAGTTTGGGTGGGACTTTCGGCAGGCTCTGAGCTCTAATTCGGTCCATAGAGAATAATCCAGCGGGTTGAGGTCGGGGCTGGAGGAGGGCCATTCGTTCGCCGCAATGAAGGCCGGCACATTTTCCTTCAGCCAAGCTTGGGTGGTTTTAGCCTTATGGGATGGCGCCGAGTCTTGCTGGAAAACCCAATACTTGTTATGGAATAGGGTATTAGACAGGGGTTTCACAACAGTCTCTAGAATGTAACTTTGATAATTTTTGGCTTTCACCTTGACGCCTTGTTGGCAGAAATGAAGCTGAGTGACACCTTCGTACGAAACTCCCCACCATACCATATCACTAGCCGGATGATGAGTACGCGAGACATTCCGTGCTGAAGGTGGGACATCCTTGCTACTTTTGGCATACACTTTATTGTTTTGTCGATTGAACTTTTCTTCGACGGTAAAGATTTTCTCGTCGGAGAAGAGTATCTTCTTCGCATCGTGTCTCCTAAGCAGTATTGGACAACGTTCGCGTCGCAATTGACGAAGGCGATCGTTTAAAAAGTGTACTTTTCTACGGCTATACGCCTTAACCTTGAGATCATATTTCAGTATTCTGTTGACTGAAACGCGCGAAATATTGGTCTGCAGAGCGAGTTTCTTCTGAGTGCGACATGGATTTCGGCGAAGTCGCTTTTGGATGATTTTAATGTTCGCAGGCGTCCTCACAGAGCGTGGACGACCACTTCTTTGCCGATCATGTAAAGAACTTGTCTCCTGGTATCGTTTAATAGTGTAATACACGAAGTTACGGCTCACACCAAAACTTTTCAGTTCTCGGAAAATGTCCATAGGTTTTCTTCCCACCTAATAATGAAATGACGGTCGCACGTAATTCTTTTGTTCCCTCCATTACGAGAAAATTTAAATAAAATAATCCGAAATCATGGATATTAAAAGTTAACATTCCAAATTCAAAATTAGAAAAAGAAATATACAGCAGCCAGTAATTTTTATTTTATTTTTATAAGCAAAAAGTTTGTCTCAAAACTTATGAACACACGAGGTATAATTAAGAATGGGACGGTTGACATATTTCGGGCATGTCATAGTCCTGGTGAATCCATTAGACATATTATTTCTGGTTGTGGTCGTTTGGCTAACAGTGAATATTTGCATAGGCATAATCAAGGAGTCAAGATCATCCATCAGCAACTTGCTTTGCACTATCGACTTGTTGAGTCTGAGGTACCGTACTACAAGTATGTGCCCGACCCAGTTCTGGAAAATGACCATATCACGTTGTACTGGGACCGGTCTATCATCACTGACAGGACTATTATAGCCAACAAACTTGATATAGTAGTGATAGACCGACAAGTGCGCCGCACGATGATAATCGATATCACTATTCCTCATGATGAGAACCTCGTGAAAGCTGAAAAAGATAAACAAATCAAATATCTTGATTTGGCTCACGAGGTTGTCGACATGTGGAATGTAGATTCGGCTATCATTGTGCCGATAGTCGTGTCGGCCAATGGGTTAATCCCTAATAGCCTCGACAACCACCTTAGGAGGCTAGCGTTAGGCAGTTGGGTCAAGGGCCTGATACAGAAGGCAGTTCTCCTTGAAACGGCGCGCATTGTGAGGAGGTTTCTGTTTCTGGAGCCCTAACCACCGGTAGCTTGGACCATGCTCCCACTACTGGTCGGCTCCTATTTTTATATTGTTAAATATTATTTTTTATACTGTAGTATTTAAAAATGTAACTTTAGAGAAATTTTAAATAAATATATGGAAATAATAAAATAATAATCCTTACTAATATTATAAATCGGAAAGTGAGTTTGTTTGTTCCGCTTTCACGCCGTAACTACTAAACCGATTGCTTTGAATTTTTGCAGACGTAAAGTTAGAAATCTGGATTAAATAATAGGGTACTTTTTATCCCGGAAATGATATTCTCGAGGGAAAACAAAAGTATTGGTATAGATGGCGCTGTGTGTATTGGTATATGTCACATAGGCTACTTTTTATCCTTTTGTGACGCGAGCGAAGCCGCGGGTAAAAGTTAGTTATATATATAGAAGATGGAAGATAGATTACTCACCAGAGCTTTTACCAAATTATCTTGTAGATCCTTGATGGTTGTAGTAGTACGATCCACTTCAAAGTTTTTTTTATCTACGTTATAATTCTGTATCCTAATTTCCATGTCACTTATTTGTTCAATTAAACTGTTCTCTCTGTTTGACAAATTTTCAACATTTCGTACAAGTTCCTCATTTTTTCTAACTAATGAGCTTAATTGTTCATTTAATTCAGCAACATAGTGTTCATAATGTGCGTTAATTTGATCCCTCTCTTTTTGCAAAGAAGTCAATTGCTGCTCTAAATAGGATATTTTTTGTGACATAGCTTGTGTTTTCTCATCATTTACAGGTTTTTCAGCTGGTAGTGTAACTGGTGAGCCATTAGTTAGTTGTTGCAACTGCAAGTGTATGACATCATATTGACTTTGAAGGTTTATTAATTGCTTATGGAGGGAATCACTTTCTGCCTCTTTAGAATGTAAAACACTTTTTGTAAATTCTAGTTGTTCAGCCAAATTACTATTTTCCTCGGATAAAGTTAACTGAAGAGAACTAAGTTCATTAAGTTTTGCATTTTTTATAGTTATTTCCTCTGTTGCTTTTATATATTTTTCATTGATATTATTAATTTCATGTTCCAACTCTTTAAGTTTTTGATTGCATATTTTATAATCATTTACTACCAAAGCATTTTTTTGTTCCAGTTGTTCTAATGATGATTGTAAGTGATGAACTTGTAATTCTAGGTTTCTTTTATTTGAAATCAAAATCTCAGTGATATTTAAATCAGGTTCTGGTATTATGGTATTTTCAGTTATATCAGATTTTTTTAAATCTGTCTGTCTGTTTTTTAAGTCTGCATTTGAGATGGTAGATGACAAATAGTTATTTCCATTTGCTTCAAAATCAGGGTTTTGTATTTCTTGTGTGCTCTGTATGATTTCAGGGACTTCCTCATCATTTTTGACCACTGTTTTCAGGGACTCATTGTCATTTATTATTAAACAGGCTTCAGATTTTTCAGATTTATATATGTCCTCTTTTTGACCACCAATTAATTTCTTATCTTGGTGATCTTTAAGCTGAAACATTTATTTAAATAATTATTATGAATAATCTATTTCTGGTATTGTACAAACTATCAATAAACTTTGAGGCTGTGAAATTCAAATAGTTCGGCTACAGGCAACAACAACAGAAAAATCTTTCATTATTTTGTGAGATGTAACAGTAAAACATTATTTTCTAAAAATACTAATTACTATTGCAACTGTAATGTAGGCAAGTTAACTGAGGCCTTAGTACGAGTTTGTTTTATGTTTAAAGTATTCGAAACGAGAACGCGTTCGGCGCACTGATTGGCCGGCGCCAATGAAGCAACCAATCAGAGCGCCGAATGCGTACTCGTTACGATACGAAGAAACTCGTGTTTTTATATATTCCATGGTCCATTGGGTGAGTTGGGACCTTCAATGGAATAGAAAAAACTAGGGGGCGTGTGATGTAGGCGTGGCACGCGTGTCATAAGTACGGTAATTTGTTAAGACAAATTACGTTCGCGCGCGTGTATAACATGCGCGCGGAGGCACGTCGCCGGGGCGAAACTCCGCTGCCGCGCCAGATAAGTGCGTGGCGGGATGAGCTCCGGCGCGATCTCATGGCGGAATGGCAGCAACGACTGTCGCAACCGAGGGCTGGGCTCGCTGCCATTGCAGCGGTAAGTCCCCTCTTTGAGGAGTGGCTTGAGAGACGCTACGGCGTCCTCACCTACCGCCTGACGCAGGTCCTCACCGGACATGGAAGTTTCGGGAGGTACCTGTGTCTGATGGGGCGGGAGGAAACGCCCGGGTGTCATCACTGCGAGGACCACCCTGAGGACACGGTGGAACACACTGTTGCGGAATGCCCTGCGTGGGCTGAGCACCGCCGTGCCCTCAGGGAAGTGATCGGCGATGGAGACCTCTCGCGTCCGGGCCTAGTTCAGGCCATGATGCGGAGCGAGGGGGACTGGGATGCCGTCTCCTCCTTTTGCGAAGCAGTCATGCTGGCTAAGGAGGAGGCGGGACGCGCGAGGCAGCGAAGCGCTGCCTCCTCGCAACCCAGCCATCGCGAAGGACACACCGGGCGTCGGGGATCGCGGGACGATCCCCGGCCACCGTAAGCGCGGGCCTGCGGACGGCGAGCATGGGTGGCTCCCCGTCCGACCAGAAACAGACCCGAGCGTACGGCGCGTCGCGTTCCGCGCGCGCCTCAAAGAGCCATCAGACCACCACAGATGGGGCCCAATAGGGCCGATGCCGATTCGGAGTCGCGGAGAACCTAACGGGTAACCGGGGCTCCGGCTCGACGTGCAGGAGAAGGAACGGGGTGGTTTTTAGTCAGTAAGAGTCTGACACTCCCTTCCGCCTCACCCAGGCGGGAGCAGTCATTCGATGATTTTCCCCCCTTAAAAAAAAAAAAAAAAAAGACAAATTACGTAAAGTCACGCGTTTCGAAATACATTTTATTACGTAACTATGCTGTGTTGTGTTATTTTGGCAAGCAAAAATAGAAGTAATGCAATCAATGATGTGTCAATACAGATTTTATACATGTATATCGACATCGATTTTGATATGATGGCCTTACACACATGAAAGTTATTATAAGAGGTTTATCCGATTGCAAACTTTAAAGCAAAAATGGACATCAGTAGATTTTTAATTTGCACAATATTTATTTATAGGTTTCCTAGAGATGGTGCATTAAAGAAAAACAGATAGATGCAAGAGGTAGAATTAATTGGATGCCATCTATAATTATTGTCTAGCAAAATATGGCCGCAACACTTTGGAAGACAATTTTTTTAAGGATATAGTTACCGGAGTTTATGTATGTATATTCTTAAATCGTAAACGTATGCACATTAAGCACGTTAAGTAAGTATTATTATTTGTTTAAAGTTTAATTGGAAAATAAAAATTCTTAGAGGTTGCGTATCTGTTGAAGTGTTGATATCAATAATGTAATTAAACGCACAATGACCGAACTGCACCTACTCGAACACAAAAAATATTGACTTATGACGTGATTGTTACCTTATCTGTATTGAAATAAAATCCTACATAATATGTTTAATAATAATTGTGACTATGGCTGGTTTTGACTAAAATTGAAACGACAAATCAAATTATTATATTATGATTATTACTTCATTGGTCTCCAATGAAATAATAATCATATTAAATAATAACACGGTACACACACACACCAACAGACTTATGATAAAACTAGACTTTCATTTATTCAATTTCACTATTGATACATATTACTCCTGTATGATATAAAAGAGCGGCGCCTCCTGGTACAGGCATATATATATATGCTTAAAAGGGGACGCCACCAAGTGTGTAACTTTGTATTAACGTGTAATAACGAAATAAACATTTTTGATTTTATTTAGATTTTTTGATTGGTGTAGGTTTGGCACAGTGGTTCCCGTAGTTAGTTAAAGAGTGGGGGACAAACGGCGACGCGTGTTCTAATACAAATCAGGAACTATTTCCTTTCTAGCGTTCTTTATATGTTCTGTGATCATAATAAATATTAATAAAAAAATATATATATGACAGAAATCAATGAGTAAAATAATCAACATTCTGTAAATTTCACCTTAATATACACTTAAGTATGTTATTAAGGTGATAATAAAACTAAAAATCTTAAAATATTGTTACAATCTTGTACTTATTGGTTAATTTACTTATTAGAGTAGAAACAACTATTTTGTTTAATAATGATTATATACAGAGTTATTGGTAAAACATGACTCTCAGGACTATGTTACTAACATAGAACACTCTAAATGTGACGAAGTCTGCACAGCAAACGAAAGCGTCTATTGTAGTAAAATGGTGAGGGGAGCGGGGTCAGGGCGGCAGGGGTGCTTGCACTTGACCTATTTACGGGGAATCCCTCAGACTGTCGTTTGCTTTGATGCGCATGCGTCGGCGTCGTCATGTCGTGTAATAGATTTCGGTAGTGCGGACGAAATTATCTTTACATGATAGCATATCGATATTCCAATATCGAGTACACGGAATTGTTACAGAAAACTGAAAGGTCATTAGTAGTTTGTTTTTATTATGGTCTTTAGTGTGGAGGTACCATAAAAAATAAAGGTTATTTCCATATCTAATGTCAGATTTTAGATATCCTTTGGCTTTTGCTTAAAAAAGCGGGAATCGTAACGAAGAAAGTTATTAACCCAAAAGTATTATTACTAGAACAGTGCGCGGCAAGCCTAGGTATGTTGGTATGGCACAATACGAGTTGAAATGTGTTAGATTATTTTTTTTAAGGGGGGAAAATCATCGAATGACTGCTTCCGCCTGGGTGAGGCGGAAGAGAGTGTCAGAGTCTTACTGACTAAAACCCACCCCGTTCCTTCTCCTGCACGTCGAGCCAGAGCCCCGGTTACCCGTTAGGTTCTCCGCGACAAATGGGTTAGATAGGACAACAAAATCATCAAAATTTGTTTTCGATAAATGTTTAACATTTTGTAAAATAAAAATCATAGAACAAAAGTCGTTAATAATAGTAATATGGTAATGTTAATGTTAGTGTTGGTAACAGTTAAAGTTAGTAACATAGTCCTGAGAGGACATAAGTGTTCTACCGATAACCGTGTATTATTTCAGTTATTACATAAAATTGGTGTTTCAACACAGTTAATCAATCAGTAAGGATCAAGTGCCCCAGACAAGTGCAGAAAATGTTATAGAGTTAAAATGAAGTCCATTATATGATTCTTGCCATACCTAATCACTTATTCATTGAAACATAAATTATACTTAATAGTAATCAGAAACCAAGATATGCAAAATATATATTTTTTTGGAACCTATTGAGTATAAGCCAACGAATATTAATTTAGATATCTATGTTCAGAATTTATTGCAGCTTAGTCTTAATTTATTATACGGTGATTTAATCTAAAGATTAAATAGCAAAATGGCTACATAATTGTTAATAAATTTTTGACTAAGAGGCAATTATTGTAAAAACTAAAACTTTAGCAAGTTTTACTGAATTGACTCAAAATAATTGACATAGATTACCTTTTTTCGTGCTAGCGCCAATTTAGCTGCGCGATCTTCCATAATTAACAACGGTAATAGCGCTTCTATTGAATTATTACATGTAAAACAAAAAAGCCATTAAACTATGAAATAATTTATTATCTTAAGTAGCATTTTGGAATTAAATAAGAATGAAAACTGAAATGACAGGAAATACCGATGATTCCCAATCGCCACATAAACAGTTTCAGGCAGGTAATTATTCTGTCAACAGTGTCAGATGTCATTTTTCAGTCAGTAGGCGATGCAAAGATTATAACTAGCGCCTCTTCACTTCTCGACACTGGCAGTATAGTCGACAAAATCATATTAGAAACTCGCCTAAAAGAAACTAGCGCCTCTAGTGTCAAAATTGTAAAGCTGTCTAAGAACGACACTGTCAGTTTTTGTATATTTACGTCACAGAAAAGTTAGATACTAATCCAACTATTTAGTTTTTGATGCCAACATAGCTTTGTTTGGGCTCGCTGCCATTGCAGCGGTAAGTCCCCTCTTTGAGGAGTGGCTTGAGAGACGCTACGGCGTCCTCACCTACCGCCTGACGCAGGTCCTCACCGGACATGGAAGTTTCGGGAGGTACCTGTGTCTGATGGGGCGGGAGGAAACGCCCGGGTGTCATCACTGCGAGGACCACCCCACAGACCTACTATAATATGGACCAGAAATACCTACAAAATACGCGTGCATACCTACTAGAAACCGAGGCCTAAAAATGGCTGCCATTGCTAGGGAAGTACTATAGTCAAAACCAAAAAGTATCGATATCGATAGCAGAGTTTTATACATTAAAAATCTTCTGGTACTTTGGTTTTTTTTTAAAGGTACAAATAATCGAACGACTTCAAGCCACTTCTGACGCAGCACTTCATTTTTAGGGAATTTGTGGAAATAAAATAAAACATAAAAATTATTTCAGTTTTGTACATTTAGTGGTACAAATCATAGACTGAACTAAATGAAAGTACCTACTGTATGAAGAATTGATATTATTATGTTATGGTACTATCCCTATTTTTATTTCTATTCTGTAAGATTTATTTTCAAAATGGTCTCTTCAGACCCTTTATTTTGATACTCTACTCTACTGGACTCTATAACATACAAACTAAAAATATGTTAGTTTCTTATCGATATGTTAAATAAAATACATCACTATTTGTAAATTGTCATTTGTATTGTAAACAAAACTTAAACAAATTTAGCAAATGAAGTTAGTTATCATAAACAAATTTAATGTACATTTGGGGGCTTTTATTCTATATATAAAACAAGGCTAGATAAACAATAAAACTAATAGTATGATAAAGTTTTTTCTTAAAATACGGCTACTAACCTGTGCATAGTCAAATGAGGTTGATTGGGGTTTTTCCTTGCCCCACACTGAATTATTGAACAAGTAGACATATTAAATATGCACCACTAGACACTCACAGCACAAAACAAATAAGTTGGGAGCGTTTTTATTGTTAAAAATCGCAATCCAAATCTAATGTTGTTGTTCGCTTGACACCTGATGTACTACAAAACTATGCGGCCTAAAGATGGCGGCTGGCACGCGAGGTAGGTACCTTGTCAGAAATGTAGAAATGTTGCCAGGCAGAGAATAAACAAACAACATGACGTCTCTTTCTTCAAATGAGGAAACTCATTAATTAAAAAGAGACAAAGTGTGGTTTCATATTTCTATATCGATTTGATATATATTTGTATAAGCAAATAAGCTATAGATCATTACTTCTGGTCCATATTATAGAGGTCTGTGGACCACCCTGAGGACACGGTGGAACACACTGTTGCGGAATGCCCTGCGTGGGCTGAGCACCGCCGTGCCCTCAGGGAAGTGATCGGCGATGGAGACCTCTCGCGTCCGGGCCTAGTTCAGGCCATGATGCGGAGCGAGGGGGACTGGGATGCCGTCTCCTCCTTTTGCGAAGCAGTCATGCTGGCTAAGGAGGAGGCGGGATGCGTGAGGCAGCGAAGCGCTGCCTCCTCGCAACCCAGCCATCGCGAAGGACACACCGGGCGTCGGGGATCGCGGGACGATCTCCGGCCACCGTAAGCGCGGGCCTGCGGACGGCGAGCATGGGTGGCTCCCCGTCCGACCAGAAACAGACCCGAGCGTACGGCGCGTCGCGTTCCGCGCGCGCCTCATAGAGCCATCAGACCACCACAGATGGGGCCCAATAGGGCCGATGCCGATTCGGAGTCGCGGAGAACCTAACGGGTAACCGGGGCTCCGGCTCGACGTGCAGGAGAAGGAACGGGGTGGTTTTTAGTCAGTAAGAGTCTGACACTCCCTTCCGCCTCACCCAGGCGGGAGCAGTCATTCGATGATTTTCCCCCCTTAAAAAAAAAAAAAAAAAAACATAGCTTTGTTATTATTATTATTTTTAATTTTTTTAAGGTTTAAATATTTTAGTTCATAGTTATTTATATTTTAAGTTGTATCTATTTTCATTTAGTAATAGTTAATATTAATTTTATTTATCTACATATTCGATAATGATTTATGTACTTTTATCCAAATCCAAACTAATATTATAAATGTGAAAGTAACTCTGTCTGTCTGTCTGTACATACACAGACACTACTGAACCGATTTTTGTGAAATTTTGTACAGACATAGTTTGGAACTTGAGAAAAAACATAGGATAGTTTTTATTACAAAAAAAAATATTCCGGACATACAACGAAAAAATGTAAATAAATAGTAAAAATATAATATAATATAACTTTTAGTACAAAGAAAAAGCTCTAACGGAGTACGGATAATTCTATTAATACTATATGTCGAGTTGGTGATCGCGCAATGGTGTCGATACACGAATTCGGTTCATGATATTGTTTTTATTCATCGGAAAAGAGTAAATAAATAGTAAAAAGGTATGAAAAAAATAATATCAATATAATACAACTTTTAGTACAAAGAAAATGCACGAACGGAGTATGGATAAATGGATAAATAATCCGAGTTGTCACTATGCTCAACAGATGGCGGTGGAATCGAATTAGATTGCGCTATGGTTTGTTACACGCATTTGGTTGGATATCGGCCGAGCGCTTCAGTACTGTCGTGCAAATGTGGATTGATCATTTCGTAAATCTAAAATTAGTTCTGTTGTAATAGAAGATTATAAGGTTTATTTCTTGGGATGTTGGGTTGGAATGCCTAGTTGTTGTATAATGTATGTTTAGTTTGATCTCGAATATTAGTAGATAGATACTAAAATTGTATGTCTAAATTGATTTTAATTCTTATATTAAGTAGATCGTTCATTTAAAAATAATTATGTTTTAAGATTGGTTTGGTTTAGGGATGGACATAAAAAAATACATCGATGTTTTTTTCGATGTAATGCATCGTTTGGTTACATCGATGGTAATCCGATGTATTGAGAAATACATCGATGTTTCTTAAACATCGATTGTTTTAGCTTAGGCATTAATTAAAACAAAAACATGTATTATGAAAATCAGAAAACATATGTAGGTATTAAAATTCAAAATCACAGAGGCAACACATTTTTTTTTCAATGCTATGTAAAAACAACAGTTTGTTTAATCTCTTTCCCTTTAAGCGGTTTCTTTGTTCCGTCATAACCAGCCCTGTCTGTGAAAAAAGTCTTTCAGAAGGGACTGACGTACTCATTCGTTAGCCGAGTGGTCCCAAGTGCGACTGCCGGGCAAGGAGTCTCGGGTTCGTATCCCAGGTAGGGCAAAGTATTACTGGGTTTTTAAAAATCTCAGTAGTATCACGGAGTCTGGAAATGTGCCCGGTATATGGCGATAGGCTCAACCCCTATTACATGGGACTCATAACATAAATAGTGAAAAGTGGGTGTTACATTGTACAGTGGCATTAAGTGCCGAAATGTGCACCTCTGCCCACCCCTTCGGGGATAAAAAGGCGTGATGTTATGTCTCTAAATATAAAGGTTATAATTTTTGTACATCTTTCTCACTTTCTTTTTTTCAATGATTTTGGAAAAAGTTGATTACCACGATTAAAACAGCCTGGTACTTAGTGGCATATGAGAAAAAACCTAATAATTCTGATTGAGAATCACGATTATGTAAGAAATTGACAGTTGTCAGTCAAACCATCGACGATGTGCCATCTGACGGAATAAATACGCAGTGTGGATCCCCATTTGCGTATTCGATGTATCGAATGAAAAACATCGATATGTATTCAATGTTGAAGTATTAACAATATGTGTCCCATTCTAAGTAGAGTACTTAAACTTGTTATTCCTTAGCCTGAACCGGAAAGATGCGTAGTAACTTACCTAAATCATTCCGAAAATATAAAAATACAAGAATAATATTAGACTGTGCTGAAACTGACTGACTGATGCTGTGATTAAAAAATGTTAATGTTTAAAATGTAGAATATCGAAGTACTCTCAATATAATTAACATTAAAGTGAAGTTTGCCGAGTGGTCGCAAGTGCTACTACCGGACAAGGGGTCTCGGGTTCGATTCCCGGGTCGGTCAAAGTACTACTGGGTTTTAAAAAAATTCTCAGTAGTAGCACGGAGTCTGGAATTGTGCCTGGTATATGGCAATAAGTTCATCCCCTATTACGTACGAAAATTGTCAGAGTCGTTTATAGACAGCTTCGCAATTTAGACTCTAGAGGCGCTAGTTATAGTCTTTGCATAGTTTGCATCGCCAAAAGAAACACCCACCTATCGTGATGTATCGTGTTACGACACTGATATGATAATATATATATCAATGTGTTACGAGTCTTCGGCCCGGTATTTTTTACTTTTTACCGGCTTCAAAAAAAGGAGGAGGTACTATGTCTCCTTTCTTATTCTTCTGTTTCAATTTTTCAAGTCTTATATTTTTATCACTTCCACTGTCACATCTTGATTGTCTTTTTTTTTATTTATGCTGCATCGTGCCTGGTGCTAAATAAATGTTTTTCTTTCTTTTCTTTCTTCTTTCTATGTTCGTCTGATTGTTTTTTTTTTTTAGTTATACTCTATGATTTTAGCCTTACAAGTTTTGGTTGACAGTTTAAAAAAAAAACCTTTCAATTTTGACATTGTAATGATATAGATCTTTCATCATTCTATTTTCAATGTGATGATTGTGACTATTCGCTCTTTAGTTTCATTTCAATCATGATGTGATTTTTTTATCGGGTGACACAGTTAAGTAATTCCAGAAAAAGAACCTCTAAAATGAAAGATACGAAAGAAAGGACAATGTCTGGTAGCAGCACCATGCTAAGTAATGACTACACGGCTGCTTTCAGTTCTATAAATGAAAGACCGGTAGATGATATTTCCTTAGAATTTTTTTACAAACCACATACGATTACTTTGCTGGCAGTATCTATTGCTTCAGTAATATACACAGCGTTTGTAAGGTATATCACAGTTTTTTAGCATTACTTTTAATTCAACTATTACGATAATTTTGTGATGTAACCACTCACTTGTGATATCAAAACTTGTGATTTCTAAATTAATTTATTTGTTTATTGTACTACATAAGTTATGTTTACGCACCACAAAATTGTGTTGAATCAAAGAAAACTGGACAGTGCGTTTTTTGGGTTAAAGAAAATCTATGTGGTTGACTCAGAAGTAATATGATGACCATAATATGATGTGATTACAGTGGGAACATAAATCTAGTTCAGTGTCAACTGGAGATAATAATGTTAACCACTAGATTGAATTGCAAATACTATTGCAATAAATGCTGCACTGAGTTTATTACTTATGATTACGTCTTGAGAAACATGTTCTAATAATTCATTTATTATCTGTAATTAAGAGTAGTTTTCTTATACTTTCAGAGATGAATCCAGCATTCAAGACAATATATGGTCAGGAATATGCTGTGTAGTTTTCTTTTTCCTCATAGTATCTGTTCTAACATTCCCTAATGGACCATTCACACGACCACATCCAGCCGTCTGGAGAATTGTATTTGGCACATCAGTTCTATACTTACTGGCACTGTTGTTTCTATTGTTTCAAAGTTATTCTACTGTTTATGAAATAATGTATTGGATTGATCCAAATTTGCGCAACTTTCATATTGATATGGACAAGGTAAGCTAGTAATAAATGTACCTTATAATTTTTAATTGATCAACTTATGAAATGATATTTAGATTTATTATGTAGATATTTTATAATCTCAAAGACACATTAATGATATTGTTTAGACAAGTATAAATGATTACTAATTCAATACAATAGTTTATTCAGATTCTAATAGTATTGCATTATCATAATCTACTAACCTCATTCTAAATACTTGTTATGTACGTTAGATTTGGTACATTATTATCTAATCTTCCCTTGAAACAAATGAAATAATGCCCTGTTTCTATTTATTTATTACCAAAATGTACATTTATAATCCACATTTTAAAGCATTTTAGAATATGTTATCTTTATTTTTTCAGGAGTATGCAGTCAATTGCTCGGATATAAGTTTGACAAAAATCTGGTCTCATGTTGATGTGTTTGCCTGGGGACACTTTTTGGGATGGCTGTTTAAAGCTATACTATTTAGACATGCAGGATTATTGTGGGCTATTTCTATAATGTGGGAAATTACTGAAATAGCATTTGCACATTTGCTTCCAAATTTCTTAGAATGCTGGTGGGATTCTGTTATATTGGATGTTTTAGTTTGTAATGGTCTAGGAATATGGTGTGGACTCAAAATATGTAAAGCCTTAGAAATGAGAGAATACAAATGGGTCAGTATAAGGTAAGTTACTTTCTACTAATTTTACTAATGCGAAAGTTTGTGAGGATGTATGTATGTAATTCTTTCATGAAAAAACTACTGGATTGATTTTCATGAAAGGAGAAGTCGATTAAAATCATTCATGTGTTATTTATAAGGCCATAAGCAAGAGGTAAAGGTAAGGCAGAATATCACATTTTGTTTTGCCGGACAAACATTTTTTTTTTGTTTCTATGTAGTAACAACTACTGAAAATGATGTAGAATTAAGGTAAAGAATTAAATTTACGAGAATTACACGCAAACCTTCTGAACCTCTAAAATTTTCCATTGCATGACAGCAAGAATAACAATAACGAAATACATCATCATAATATTATAATAATATATCCTATGTATGAATAATAATAAATATTATGTTGCCTACTTTTCTACAATAAGTTTTAGCGGTTTAATGCTAGCACATTTCGCAAACCAAAATTGGTACTTATTGAAAATGTTGCAAATGTCCAGACTTCGGTTGATGGTGTGACACACCTTTAATATTACATACCCGATTTATACAAATGTAATAATACAGTTATACTTACATATTATATGTATGTATATCATAATCATATTTTTTATGTATGTACAGTGATACATATTCATGTATCACTATACATACATAAAAAATATGATTAAATAAACAACAATTTTGAAACAAAGTAGAGGTTGGTGCTGTTTCAAGGGTGCATTAATATCTGATCATTGTAGTCATAGGTTTGGACCCATTTGGACTCTTCTGTCATGCAATCAGTAACAGTTTGACTGTGACTATTCCAGGGATATATCATCGACTACTGGTAAAATAAAGCGTGCAATACTGCAATTCACACCTGTGCAATGGACACCAGTCCGGTGGTTAGACCCTACAAGCACTTATATGCGATTCTGTGCATTGAGTCAGTTGGTTGTGTTTTGGCAAATTTCTGAGTTAAATACATTTTTCCTGAAACACATATTTGAGATGCCACCCTCGCATCCTCTAGTCATCGCTCGACTTTGTCTTATAGGAGTAATTGTAGCTCCATCTGTAAGGTAACAAACTTTTGAATTTTAACATACATTCATATCTATTTCTTTGTGCTTATGTTTCGATTTTCATTGAATTACATAGATGAAACATCTACATCTAATTTTAAATACAATTTGTTTAATTTTTATATTAATAATGACTTATTAAGTGTATGGATGTGGTTTCAGGCAATATTACACATATGTTACTGATCCCAATTGCAAGCGTGTTGGTACCCAGTGTTGGGTATACGGAGCCATTATGGTGACTGAATCTATGCTGTGCATTAAGAATGGCAAAGAACTTTTTGGTCAAGCTCAAGTGTGCAATGTGATTGTATGGCTAGTCATTCAAATTTTAGTATCAATTGGCTGTGTGTATGGTGTAGTGCTGTATCATAGATATTTTGAGGTGAGTAAATATTGTACAAGTGATAAAACTCTGTTCTTCAAAGCAGTAGTTGCTCATGATCTAATCAGGGTACAGTACCATACAGTTCTATGATTTAATTATACAAGTAGATAATGATGATTTTAAAAATATAAAAAGCTTAACAGAAGAAATCCAAGCTACCGGTCGGTCAGGGCTCCAGAGAGAGTAATTTCCGGACAATATGCGCCGTGTCCAGAAGAATCTACTGCTTTCGGCGTAAGACCTTTGACCCAACCATCCTACGCTAGCCTACCCAGACCTAAAAATCATTGTTATTAATGTTTTATTATTTTCCTTTCACAGCCAAATAGCGACTCAAATGCAGAAAGTCCAAAAAAAGTTGACTAAAAATTTGTAAGTATTAAATTTTAATAAAATCTCTATAAAAATTTTATTATAATTATGTTTTGCAAGCAAACTAATTTTGAATGTAACAATAATTATCAATAATATATTAAAGACCCACAATTTACCAATGTATGTAGTATATTCGAAATTTATAGTATTTTCGATTAAACCATCACCAGGTAATAAAGAAATCGTGACGAGTTGTAGCCTGGCTTTGTATGATCTTTCTACATATTTAGCAGTCTGTCAGTACTGATATTTCTCGAACAAAATCTGTTCCTGGTGTCGGGGTTTTGCTTGTAATTACTTATCTGTATTCTTCATTTCTTTCATTAGTAACAAAACAATTAGTCAGTGACGCGCCCAGCTATACAAAATTGTAATATGCTTCATGGCCTGGGGGCTTCCTCTTGAATCGAATTCCGATTTATTGACATATTGATATTGTAAAATTTCGTATTCTTAAGTTGCAACACTACCACCCATTGCATTCGTGTTGAATGGATACCGAATTAACTAAATGGTATTGAGTTTACAACTTTACATTCCATTTTCTAAATGCGGTTTTAACAACGAAGATTGGGTAGTATTATATTATTGGGTAGTATCATAATTGACATTAAATAATTATTGAGATTTTATTGTATTAAAATGCTATTGAGATTGGTTTGAAGAGTAAGCGCCCTGTTCGGTTATGGTTTGGCCACATTTCGGTTCGGTATGGCCACAGAACATAATGTTCTGTGGTTTTGGCCAAACCTAAAAGCGTATTTGCGACCTCTTTCTTATGGTCTAAATATTATTTTTAATGATCTTTAATTTCTGCAAACTAAAAATGTGATTGTATATATAATAATGAATTTTATAATTTCATTTCAGAGTCGATGTTGAACAGAAGATTTTATTTAGTTAAATACTGCGATGACTATACCCATTGATATCCATGCATCAATGCTGCAGTTGCAGCGTGCTCAGTGAATCCTTGTGTTAGTGAGTGTATGTTGTTTTAATTGCCTGGCTTTCTGTGATGGATTGTAGGTATGTAAGTCTACTTTGGTAAAGATGTGATTTTACAGTGACGTATAGATTTGTAAAAGTAATGTAAACGGCCAAAAGAAAGCCCACTTGCTACTTCCTATTGTTAAAGTAATGATTAATCCTGTTTGTACCCCAAATGTTTATTTCGAATAATATAAGAATGATTGCATGTTTAACATACTAGCCATAAAAAATGTAGTTCCCGTTATCTGTATTCCCGACCCACCATATTAAGCATATGTTAATATCTTTTTATATGTACCAAAGTGCACGTACATGTGTACGTTTGTAATTTGTCGGCAGAGCGCTTACATCAATAATTATACAGATGTCCCTGAAGTCCCCAAACGATACCAGGCAATCTACAAAGTTACAACTGTTAGGTATCAGAAAAATATAAAAATTCTAAGTACAGTCAGTGATTTGTGTGACAGTATTTTAATTCTTGTGGCTACAAATTTTTACTTTTTTATATGTATCCTGAAATCCTGAATAATGCTTCAGTAATATGGAATCTTAAATTCTGCTCCAACGGGTTTAGTTTGGAATATCCAATTAATATTCACAATACATTCACCTTACTGAGATTATACTGAAAAAACAAAAACAAACGAAAAGTAAAAACTAAAAAGCAAAATATAACTATTATTGGTCATTAGTGTCCGACCGAAACTAGTTTTACGACCGAAACCGAAAACGAATTTCGGCAACGGTGTCTATTTCGGCCGAAACCGAAACTTCCTTACGAGGCTCATATTTTAAGGGAAAAATAAAGAAAACGTTATTACAATCAGTCAGTCTTTATTGTCTTCTCTTTAAATCACATAGATTCGCAAGTGGTTGCATGTGCGACTGCCGGGCAAGGGGTCTCGGGTTCGATTCCCGGGTCGGGCAAAATAATATTGGGTTTTTAAAAATTCTCTGTAGTAGCACGGAGTCTGGGATTGTGCCAAAGTCAAAGCCAGTATATGGCAATAGGCTCACCCCCTTATTACATGGGAATGGGACTCATAACATAAATAGTGAAAAGGGGTGGGTGTTACATTGTACAGTGGCCATAGTGTACACCGCTGCCTACCCGTTCGGGGATAAAAGGCGTGATGATGTTATGTTATGTTATTTCTCTTTAAATCACATCGTTATTAATATCACAATCACAATAGGTATAAGTAGTTACTTAATATTTAAGTAATAAAATAAACAAATATAAATCACTTTTATCTTTAGAACAAATAAACTTAAACATCTTTCTTATAAACTCAGTTTGACACTTTTTATGACCCTTTAGTCAAAAAAAAAGGAAAAAGACTAAACGGCTATATTATTACCTACTATAAATTAAGTATAAACTATGATTCTAATCACAAGAGGCGACGATTAGTGAAGTAACCACATAAATACTAATAAATAAGAAATACCAACATGAAATGATTAGTAAACTAATTAAAAACTTCAATTAATCTGTAATAGTTAACTAATTCACTCATGCAACGCGAACATGATCGATAACAGCGCGGAAACTCCCGAATGCACATTCGATTTCGGTCATAGTTTCGGCAAGTTTGCCGCCGAAAACGAAACTAAATCGAAACTCGTGTTTTTACCGAAACTCAACCGAAACCGAACATTCGGTCGGACACTATTGGCCATACGTACTTACATATAGCTTACACACCAACTGATAGGTGAGAAGTCGGTGCCATAACAATTGTGTACAATCCACATCGGTGCAAAGTTTTCATGAATACATATTATTTAAGCTCAAACACCAGGTAGCTACTATTAACCATTGTTCTCTTAGCTATCATACTACTTCATCATTGAACATTTAGTGACAACCACACCACACCTAGGTGTAAAGTTTTCATCAATACAAATTAATCAAACCTAAACACAAGATAGCTACTGGTAACCACTGAGAAGTTCCCTCAACTATGGTACTACTTCATCATCAGACCCTTATTAGCAATCACATACCACCTAGGTATAAAGTCCTCATCAATACAAATTAATCAACCCCAAACACAAGATAGCTACTGTTAACCGTTGAAGAGTTCCCTCAACTATGGTAGTACTTCATCATCAGACCCTTATTGGAAATCACATACCACCTAGGTATAAAGTCCTCATCAATACAAATTAATCAAACACAAACACAATGTAGCTACTGTTCATCGTTGAGGAGTTCCCTCAACTATGGTAGTACTTCATCATCAGACCCTTATTGGCAATCACATACCACCTAGGTATAAAGTCCTCATCAATACAAATTAATCAAACACAATGTAGCTACTGTTAACCGTTGAGGAGTTCCCTCAACTGCCTATCGGCTCCATCATCAGATCAGCTCCAGACCTTTATCAGATTGTAGTGGTTTTAAATACTTAACGAAAAAATTAATAAATGCGCTAGTCTCCCCTATAATTTTTAAAACCTCCCCTCGGTTTCCCTGGGATTCCATCATCAGATCCTGACTTCATGACAATGGGACCAAATGTTGTCATTTGGTTGTCAAACCTACCCTTTCAAACAAAACAGAATTATTGAAATCGGTCCAGGCGTCTTCGAGTAATCGAGTAACAAACATAAAAAAAATACAGTCGAATTGAGAACCTCCTCATTTTTTTTCTTTTTTTGAAGTCGATTAAAAAAATAGTAGGTAACGCTAGTATCTAATGGCAAGTTACGGAATTCTAAAATGGTATACCACATACTGCATTGTCTAAGTTACTTCTTAAATTCGACACAATTATTTTTTAACCAAACTCTGTTACCAACAACCTCGTACCCAGTATCCAGCATTTGCCACGCATATCTCGCATTGCTAAACAATGAAACATGTTATAAATTGTGTGTGTGTGTAATTTCGCTCCCAACACGTGTAAGATAAAGTTCAGATAAAAAAGTAAAGATTTTTAGCAACAGGAGTTAAGACTGTAACAGATATACCTTTGTGAATAATAAATTATATCTTTTCCGATTGCTTGGTATCATTTGACCTTGTTCGACTTCAGGGACACCCTGTATAATACAATGTGCCAGTTTGTCTGAAGTGTTAGCGCAATTGCCGAATAGTCAAAATACGATTACTTCTATAGTAGAATGTGTGTCGAATATTTCTAACTTAGTAAAATATAGATTATGTGTGTTTGTATATTATGTCCTTTCTAGGAAATTTTGTGAGTCCTACTGAACTATAAGTAGTTTACGATGCTGTTAATTAATAGGCAGCCAATATTCCAGATATTGTGTTCTATGTGATAATGTGATAAATTTCTTGCACGACAGTGGATGCAATGTGACGGATATCGGTATAAGTACATAGCTATCTACTTTTATACCTAAATTACAATCTGTAAATTCTATAAAAATTTAATAATAATTTTATCCGATTATGTCAATGCCCATCTTGGAATATTTTTCTATTCATAGCAAAGTCCTGAAGAACTTGCAATAATAACTACAAGTTGTGATAGTTCCAATTCCAAGGACAACTGACAAAATATATATATTTATTCTAATGTATATGTTACATATTAGTTAAGAAGTTATAGTTAGCAAATTTCTTTTGTCTATCCTGTGTTCCACGGGTTCATTGTAGCTCCACTGTTTCTAAGTACAAAACAGAGACAAACATAATTCGACTTAATTAAATCTGTTAACTTCAAAGGAGATGTAGGCTTATTTACCTATTTACGATGAAGGTCTTGTCTTATGTAGTGATTTTTATGGGATATCTAATTATATTTAATTTTAGTTAGTGAAAAAGACCATGCAAATATGTTAGTCAGAACAGTTTTAGTAAGAACTTATTTTCGTCATCTAAAACATCATCATATTGAAATACGTGTTTGCCTCTACTCCCAGTTGCCACCATTGATTTTGTTACCTTTTAGGATAAATGGGTACAATAATTCCAACTGACATGTATAACACATAACTATTTTCTCGGTTGTAGCCAG